TTTTTTTTTTAAAGGTTAAACCAACTTTCATTTCAAGCAAACCTAACTTTCTGGGATTTGATTTGCATTATTTTGTTTTGAGTTTCTCATGCATAAGATTATTCATTAGTTTTCCTTTTTCCAAATGTCCCTCTCAAGTTTAGGTACCAAGATTATGTTAGCTTCAAAAAAACAAGTTGATGGAATTACATACTTTTTCTTTTTTTATTTCCTGAAAGTTTTTGTAAAATCAAGGGTATTTCCTCCATGAATATTTAATGGAAGTCTGTGTCTGATGGGACACACAGGGTTTTTTTGTCTTTTTTTTCTTTTCGTTCCTATTTTCCTATATGCCTAGTTATTTTAATTGTGCACTGGAGAGTCTATCTACAAAGTTCTTTGTAGATAAAAATATGAAGCCTGGGGTGATGATCACTTCCGCCAGGGAGGATTTATGTTGCTTCTTCCTGGGGGGAGGGAGGGATCCCTAACATTGGGGTAACTTCCTGGACTTCTGTCATTCTTCAAATGCTAGACTTGCAATTCTTGTAATTCTTTGGTTAACTCCTGTGTGTCTTCAGGCATCTTTGTTAGCTATGCTCAGTGGGATGATTGGACCAAATTACCTAGGTAATCTGAACAGAAGTCACCCCCATTTTTCAGGGTCCTATATATATCATTATCTCTTGCCTTCCTGTTTCATGCCTCCTAAACTACTGGAATCGATATATAATATTCTCTGAGTGTTCTGCTTGTTTTTTTTTTTTTTTTTCCAAAACTCTTGCTCTTGTTGTGGGTGATTTTATTTATTTGATTGAAGGTTTTCTAATGTGTTACTTCTCACATTTATAGTAAAGCCGAGGTATAGATTAATTTAGTTTTTATTTATACTGGTTTAACCTTTGCCAAGCTTAAAACTTATGTTTTGATAAAGAAAACTAAAACTGATGAACAATATTAAATATTAGGGCGTTTGGGCTTACGAGTGAGGAGTGGCCTTTTTTTTGTTGTTTTAAGTGAACTAAAATTAACTTTGAATGTGATGCTTTACAATGTATGTTTTAAACATAAACCCTTCCTTTACAGAATGCTTTGGATAAACAAGAAGAATTGACACCTCTTGGAGTCCACTTAGCACGATTACCAGTTGAGCCACACATTGGAAAAATGATTCTTTTTGGAGCTCTCTTCTGTTGCTTAGACCCAGTACTCACCATTGCTGCTAGTCTCAGCTTCAAAGATCCCTTTGTCATTCCTTTGGTAAGAAAGATACATAGAAAAGACTGGGCATTTTTATATTCACAGAATAGTTGTTGCTTAGATACACATTAGCTTTTTATTAGAATGCTGTATTATCAGAGCAATTTAAGTTGCCTTTATCTGTATTTTTTAAGGGGAAAGAAAAGGTTGCAGATGCAAGAAGAAAGGAATTGGCAAAGGATTCTAAAAGTGACCACCTGACAGTTGTGAATGCATTTGAGGTAAAAAAAAAAACACCTTGCTTTGGATTGTGACACTTTATTCAGGTGTAAAGCTGATAATAGAATACGACCATACCGTATTTTCCCATGTATAAGATGTACCCTTTTTCAAAAAATTTGAGGTCTAAAAACTGGGTGCGTCTTATACAGTGGTTGTATGAGTGCAAAAACAAGCATGAAAAAAGCAGGACATGCAAGGAAAAAAATCTATAACCACTTATACATAGGGAAATACGGTATTTAACTCTTTATAATCTATATTACCAAGCTATCAGGAATAAATTGCTAAGTGAGACAAGAACATTTAAAATCAGGTGAACATTTAAAAAACAATTAACATCATTTATCAGTTTTGTAATAGCTTATTACATTTGCCATTTTGGAAAAGAAGTCTGTCTGTCTTTTATAACAATAGAACAAGTAAACAATTTATTTAAAAATTTTATTGGATATTATTCACTTGTATGTTATTGACATTCATGACAGAAGGTCTCTTTGTTCATTAATAAGCTATACCTATATTCAGATTTAGCATTTTGATAGAGTGTCATAATCATGTGCATTATTCAGAATAGAGGGACACTTTTTGCTCCCAAAAGCCAGGCTTATCTGAGGAGAAACACTTATCACCCATCTTTGCAAACTTTAAATGTAATTTGGTTTATAGAGACAGCATCTTTTTACTGTAGTTCTAGACTCAGTTTTGTACCACATATTAGGGGAAAGTTTATATATATTTTTTGAGCTTATTCAGTATTACTTTTTCCCCCACCTTCTGTTCTCTTCTAGCTAAAAATAAAGACAGAAATTCATATTTGTGAAGTTGAAAAATATATGATAACATTGAAATTTGTTCAACAGAATGGTTGTTTTTTTGTTGTTTGTTTTTTAAAGATTTTTATTGGGATATTGGGGGGAAGGGGAACAGACAAGTTGCTGTTGTTTTGTTCTTCAGTCTAGTTGTGGAGGACGTTGCTTCACTAGCCCAAGTTGGCACCATCATTGTGCTCTTCCCGGGCGAGGCAGATCAGTCACCGGCCACTGGACGGCTGGCTGCTGGCTGCTCACGCTGGCTGCTGGCTACACACGGTAGCCCATGGCAACCCACTGCCACAGGGGCTGCAGCCTACGCCGTTGCCGGCGACTCACGGCAGCCCAGCTCCAGGTTGAGCTGTTGTTCAGCATCTTAGCTGTGGAGGGCAGTGTCACTGGCCCTCATATGTGGGATCCGAACCGGGGCCCTCTGGCGTCTCAAGCCAGTTCTTAACCATCGCGCCACTCGGCTGGCCCCAGAATGCTTGTTTTTGATTAATATAGTATGATGCCATTTTGTATAAAATACACAATATACTACTACATATAACTTATTTGTAGAAAGGTTGGGAAATTCAGTTAGTGGTGGTTATCTCTTAACTAGGATTCTGGGGAGTTTTGTTTTCGTGTGTTTTTTTTTTTTTGGTACATTTCAAAATTCTTCGACCTTTTTAACAAAGAAAATATCAGTTGATTAAATTATTACCCAAATAAAAACAATCAAGTAACAGTCTTTTCTTTGGGGAAAGGTTTAAATAGTTTTCTTCATTTCTTTGCTCCATAGGGCTGGGAAAAAGCCAGACAACGTGGTTTCAGATATGAAAAAGACTATTGCTGGGAATATTTTCTGTCTTCAAACACACTGCAGGTAAAGGAATGTTCTGAAGTGATCCTCAACTGTGTTAGATTAGAGTGTGTGTGTGTGTGTGTGTGTGTGTGTGTGTGTGTGCGCGCGCGTGCGTGTGCGTGTGCGTGTGTGTGTGCATTTTGTACACTTAGATCTGTGGCAAAAGTTTATTGTGTGAGTTTGTCTTATGAAGTTGAATCATTATGCAAAATAGAAGTAATTTTTATTAAATCAACTGCAACCAAGAAAAGATGAATAATGTAATAAACAAAACACTACTAGCTAAGAAAAGACATGAATCTAGAGCATAGCAAGAAAACACAGTAAGGCTCGGTTACTGTGCCTGCACCCACCCCCTACTTGACATTTGGGTGATTCAACTTGAAAATTTTCACTACTCCTAAAATCTGTGTTTAACTATGTTTAACTTTTGGGTAGGTATCTTTGTCTTTAACTGATTTAGTGTAGTGAGAAAACGCTGGACAGGCATATTTTGAAACGAAGAAAATAACACAGAGGACAGATGCACTGAATTGGAGAAGTGCTCTCAAGCCAGTGTGAATGGGAATACCCTTCTCTGTCCTCATTACACATGTGTGGTGTGAACCCTGGTTCTGGACATTTAACAAATCTACAAGGGGTTAAAGGAATCCAGAATCCAGCATATTTAATGAAAAACACCCAAACAGTAACAAAATGAAAAGAAGGGTTGTGACATCTCTGAAATATACTATAGCCAAAGGATAAAAGGAATGGAACACAGTATATCTCAACAGAAAATATCTTACAACTGCTTCATAGTAAGGAACAGTTTAAGAATGTGAATTCAGGGGCTGGCCAAGTGGCTCAGTTGGTAAGAGTGCGAGTTCTGAGCAGCGGGGCTGCCAGTTTGATTCCCACATGCGCCAGTAAGCTGCACCTTCTACAGCTAAGATGGTGAACAACAGCTCTACCTGGAGCTGGGCTGCTGTGAGTCGCCAGCCATGGTGTAGTGTAGGCTGCAGTGGGGCTGCCTTGAGCTACCATGAGTTGGCCGGCAGCCAGTGTGAGCGGCTGGCAGCTGGTGAGAGCTGCTGGAGCTGCTGTGAACGACCGTCCGATGGCCGGCGACCTACTGCCTCAGCCAGGAAGAGCACAATGATCACAATACCAACATGGGCCAGTGAAGCAACGTCCTCCACAACTAGACAAGAACACAAGGACAGAAACTTGACTATTCCCCTCCGCCAATTCCCAAATAAAATCTTAAAAAAAAAAAAAAAGAATATGAATTCAGTAAAACAAAAATAAGAAAATCAGTAGACTGAATGAAAAGAGTTCTGAGCTAAGAAGAAAATTTAAAGATGAGAAGAATTACAAGGAACAAAATGGACACCCTTTTAAAGCCAATTACTGCCATAGAAGAAAGGCTTGACATAATCAGTTTATACATGCAGCTGCAAAAGAAAAACATTAAAACAAGAAGAAATTTGTGGACAATAAGACAGGATTGATCCATTCTGAAGATTATAGGTGTGTCTATACATAGAAAATTCACATGTAATTGAATATTTACTCCTGTGTAACAACATTTTCCTGAAAAAGAAAACATGAACCACAAGTATGAAAAGATGGCTAAATATGTTACTCTAGCATACTGTATTCAATCTCTAGATATTAATTCAAGTATAAAGACAAAGGACAGGCATTCAAGAAAGCACTTGAAACATTACACCCATGAGCTGTTCTTGAAAAACTCACTGACAGTGAAATGCTGTCTATTAAGAGATAATCAAAAAGAATTCAGGGATGGAGCATGCATGCTAAGTCAACTAGTAGTGTGCACTGAAATTATTTAAACATAGGACGAATACAAAATAGGAATTATGGATACAGAATATAATGTAAAGGCTATTATCCTGAACAGTAAAAAATAATGGTAATAACCAGGAGGTAACCTAGAGAGTCAGTTATAAGAAATGAGGTGGGGGAACTCAAGTTACACAATTCAGAAAAGGAAGATACATTTAAATATAACCAACTTTTATGTTTCATAATCTCTTATTTCAAGATTACAAGGAAGGACACTTTATACCGGGGTTGCCAAAAAATGTATACAAGTGGACACTTCGGTCAACATTGCTCAAGCAAGTAGTTCACTATAATCAGAAGTGTCTGGACACTGATGGTAACCACTTTGAGCACCTCTTGTAATTGCAGAAGTCAAATGTGACTTGTATTCGTCTTTTGTTATTGGTATATATGAGTATTACAATTAATACAGTTTTTTCCTTAAAATGTGTATACATTTTTTTGGCACCCTCTGTATCTTGTGATTATGAAAATGTAAGATTCATCTAGTTCAGTTTCATTTCTTTAAATTGAACTAGAATTATGTTTTTTAATTAAAGTTTATTGGGGTGACAATGTTAGTAAAATTACATAGGTTTCAGGTGTAGAATTCTGTAATACATCATCTATATATCACATTGTGTGCTCACCACCCAGAGTCAGTTCTGCTTCCATCACCATCTTTTCTATCTCTTTTACCTTCATCTACCACTCCCACCCCCCTTACCTGCTGGTAACCACTAAACTAGTGTCTGTGTCTATGAGTTTTTGTTTATTTGTTTGTCTTATTCCTTTGTTGTTTTCAGTTTTATATCCCACATATCAGTGAAATCAAATGGTATTCTACTTTTTCTGTCTGACTTATTTCACTTAGCATACTCAGGTTCCATCCATGTAGTCGCAAATGGCACTATTTCATCTTATCTTATGGCAGAATAGTATTCCGTTGTGTATATATACCATATCTTCTTTATCCAATCATCTATCGAAGGACACTTGGGTTGTTTCCATGTCTTGGCCACCGTAAATAAAGCTGTTTATTTGAATATTGGATAGAATTATTATTATTATTATTTTTTAAGATTTTATTGGGGAATTGAGGTAGGGGAACAGTGTTGGGGAATTGGTGAAGAACAGCCATGTTGTTGTCCTTCAGTCTTAGTTGTGGAGGGCGCAGCTAGCTCAGCACAAAGTCCAGTCTTGCTGCTCAGGTCAAGGTGCTGTGTTCAATTATTTGCGGGTGGGCATAGCCACCATCCCATGTGGGAGTTGAACCAGCAGCCTTGTTAGGAGCGCATGCTCTATCCACTGAGCCATCCGGGTGGCAGCTCAGTTCAAGGTGCCAAGTTCAGTCTTACTTGCAGGTGGATGTAGCCCACCATTCAAACCGGCAGCCTTGTTGTTAGGAGCACGTGCTCTCACCCCACTGAGCCATCCTGCCACCTGTTCGTAACTCAGCGGTAGCTCAGCTCAGGGCGCAGCGTCACTGGCCCATGTGGGAATCGAACTGACGGCCCTGGTGCTCAGAGCTTGCACCCAAGAGTGCAAGCTCTTGACCAACTGAGCCACTCGGCCGGCCCCGATAGAATTAATTTTAATACTTCTGTAAAACAGCTTCTATACTGTTACCCCATTGTTAGGATAGCATTTCTAATTCTTCTGTCAGTATATACATAATAAGTGCAATATTATTTCTTAATTATTTTTCTGACAGTATTGAGTTTAGGGAAATTGCATCATTTGTACTTTTTTATATTAATTGAATGCTTTATATAGTGAGCTGTGCCTCTTTTTTACCCAAATAGTGATTTTTCTTAAAATAAAAAGGACAAAAAACAGGCCTTAAGTTTTTGTGTCAGTACACAACAGTGATTAATTATCAGTAGAAATATGGATTTTGTTTATTTTCTGTATGCTTTTCTATATTTTTTTCAAAATATGAGGTGGAGAGTAATATTGAAAATTATATTCGTGAATCTTTTTCCAAAATGGAGTAGTCCATAAATTAGTGGTTATTGCCTACAATAAGCAAACTTTTTCTGTAAAAGAACCCAATAACTGTTTTAGGCTTAAAGGCCATACGGTTTCTGTTGCAACCACTCACCTCTTACATAGTGCAAAGCAACCATAGATGACATATGGATGAATGGGTGTGACTGTGTTCCAATAAAACGTTATTGATAAAAACAGGTTTTTATACATTTTGTAGTTTACCAACTCTTGCTCTATCTAAAACATCATGGCTTTTCAAAAGTATTTTATAAAGCAGGGAAAGCTTATAGCTATATTTATTTATGAGTGTATGCTTTATAACATCCATAAATCTGTGAAAGGTATTCTAGTTCTCTTTGTTTCCATTGCTCCCTAGATGCTGCATAACATGAAAGGGCAGTTTGCTGAGCATCTTCTTGGAGCTGGATTTGTAAGCAGTAGAAATCCTAAAGATCCAAAATCGAATATAAATTCAGGTAAAGCAGAAAATGTGGTGTAAATAACTTGCTGCTATTGTCCATTGTATCAGTATTTTACTTTTTTTTCTTTACCTTCCCACTCCTAATAGATAATGAGAAGATAATTAAAGCTGTCATCTGTGCTGGTTTGTATCCCAAAGTTGCTAAAATCCGACTAAATTTGAGTAAAAAAAGAAAAATGTAAGCATTGAAGATTATTATGAATTCTTTGTAATTCTTTCCTTAAACTTAAGAGATCCTATAATGCAAGGGTTTATATTATTTGTTCTTAGTTATAATTTGGGCCATATTCTTGTCCTGTACTTTTGATCACTTAAGAGAAGGCAAACTGTTTTAACAGTGGCATTGCTTTCCCATCACAACCCTGGAGTCAGCTCTCTGTCACCCATTATTCACAGAGAATATTAGTAAAATATAGCAGTGTAAATATAAGAAAATATAAGCCAGTTATTAAAATCCAGTGCCTGGATGGACATTGCTTAGAACAGATTTTTGCTTTAGGATTTTTTTCCTCTCTTATAAAACAGATAATTTTGTAATTTATCTCTTTGAGTAAAATTGCAATTTTACTATTTTGCAAAATAAAGTATAACTTAAATACATGTACAAATAGAGACAGCCTCAGTAGTAATTGGAGAGAACAACGAGGCATATTTTTGCCTAGTAAATGAGCTAGTGAGGAAACAGAAACTGAAGTCACAGCTGGCTTAGTGGTGTGTGAATTGTTGCCACCCATTTGGAGGGCACCCTAGATTAGAGTTATGTGCTGTCATTAAAACAGTCACTGGCCCAGTGGATTTTTAAATGAATATTTTAATTTCAGGCATATGTCCTAGGCACGTAATTTCAAAATTTTTTAGAAGTTATATTGTAAACAACATACATGTCTAGTAGCAATGGGAAAATTATGGTTTTATAATACCATATTATATGGCATTTCTGTTAGGTGGGCATATAAAACAGCCATAGTGTGGTAGCATAAAATATTTGAGCTGGTATTAAATAAAAATGATGTATACCCTATGATCATAAACAAAAAATATAGACCTCAAAGATAAAACACGGACATCGTGTGTTGGTTCTCAACTGAGGTGATTTTGCCCCTTGGGACATTTGACAGTCTTTGGAGACATTTGTGATTGTTATAACTGAGGGAGTACCACTGGCATCTAGTAGCTAGATTGAGTACCAAGGTTCCTCTTAATCATTCACCAATGCAGAGGACAGCCCCCTACAACGAAGTACTCCATATGTCACAATGCTGATGCTCAGAAAACTTATCCTCAGCTATAAGATAATGCGGAACGTAAATTTTAACTGTTGCAGCTGGATTATCCACATTTTAAGTGATCTAAGTACTTTTTGACATTAATACTTTGTCAAATTCTTCTTCATGTCTATCCCTAACTTGACAGGCATCTTAACAGAAATTCAAATATTTTATGTATCCTTCTGCCATCCTGGGAAGGCTTAATGGAAAAAAAAAAATGTAGTTCTCTTTGGATTGGTGCTTTGGTTTGGTCTGGACCAGGGGTCAGCAGATTTTGGTACTCGCCAAAAGCGTGTCTGTATAAACTTCTTTGGAACACAGGCACACCTGTTTGTTCACCTGTTGCCTGTGCCTGCTTTCCTGCTACACTAGTGGAATGGTTGTGACAGATCATAGGGCCCACAAATCCTAAAATATTTTCTATGTGGTGCCATACAGAAAAAGTCTGCCAAATGCTGCTGCTTTAGTGATGTAGGTAGTAGAGTTACAGGATGACATTGGTTAAATTGACTGTGCAGGGAGGAAAAATAATTTCTGATTTTATTCTGAATAATGACTCATAACTATAATTCATGATTTTGATAGTATTACAGATTCCTAGAAGCACACAAAAAAACCTCTTAAAAACTAATAGGAAGGCTTAATGGATTATCAGCTTTTGTGTTGTCATCTAATATAAGTAATTATCATTGACTATTTAAAAATAAACCACCAAGTATCTCCCAGTTGAATATTAATTAAAAATTCCTACAAATTGAGGTAAAAATTGTATGACTCTCAAAGAAAAGACCCATAGGAATGAAGAAACTACAGTAGAGCTGTCACAGTACATTTATGCCAAGTATTCCTGTTTTGAAATTTGGGGATTTGCGTGAATATGAAATCATTTAAAACATTTTAGAATAGGTTTTTAAAAATCAATTGTAGCTAAACCCCCTTCTAAACAAAATTCTTAATTTTTTATTTTGTATTATCTGTGTGTATAACCTGTGAAATTTTTTATTTGATCATTTCACAAAGTTATTCTGTAAATTGAGGGCTATTTATTAGTATCATGATTGACAGTAAAATGTATACACTATTCTCTTGGTCTGAATCACTTTGACGCATTTCAGCTGTTTATTTCATTCTTTGTCCTTTGGCGGTATAGTATATACATAATTAAGGAATATTTTGTCACCTTTCTAATAGATTGACTATACCTTCAAGAAGAGGATTCGTTTTATGATTTATATAGAGTATTCATATTTAGCTAATATTTTTCCATGTTTTATTAAAAAATGTTCTTTCCTCAAATAAAATTTATATTGCAAAAATATACTGAGGTTATCTGTGGAGTTTTTTTTAGATTCAGGGATTGGTTTGGAATCTCCCAGAATTTTTTTAACAAATTACATTTTAACTTTTTTAAAGGGTGAAAGTTTACACAAAAACTGATGGGCTGGTTGCTATTCATCCCAAATCCGTAAATGTGGAGCAAACAGAGTTTCACTACAACTGGCTTATCTATCACCTGAAGATGAGAACAAGTAGTGTAAGTAAATATTTAAAATAATCACGGATCTCAATATCAGTCTTGTATTTTTATAATTATATAGTTCTCATAATTATAAACAAAATTTGTTCTCTAAAAAAATTTTTTTCTTACATGAATTGTAACTTCCTTAAGCAAAGAACCTATACTTTTAATGTACAGGTCTGTCATGATTGGCCTTTGTATTTTAATTAATTGGGACATTTATTTGATTTGCATAATTTTCTTTCAGAGCCTGCTTTCAAGAAATACTGCCATTTTCTGGTATACAGGAGTATACACTAATAATTTGTGGGCATGTTGGTCAGAATATTAAGTCGGATTCTGTTTATATATAGATAAAAATAATTTCAGCTACATTAGTGTTTTGGTTTTGTCACTCAGAATATTTTGTTTAAAGAATAATACTGTGGTTTGTTTGAATTGAAACAAAAATGGCTCATTTAAAATACTTCTTCAAAACTAGTCTCTAATTACACTAATAGGATAATAGTTATGTTAAAAGGATTGATTCTAATCAACTGATACTGGTGTTATTATTATTGAATTAATGTGACAGTAATTCAGACTCCTTAAGGTATTAATTTGCTTTAATTCTCATTGTAGATATACTTGTATGACTGCACAGAAGTTTCCCCATACTGTCTCTTGTTCTTTGGAGGTGATATTTCCATCCAGAAGGATAACGATCAGGAAACTATTGCTGTAGATGAATGGATTGTCTTTCAGTCACCAGCAAGAATTGCACATCTGGTTAAGGTGACTTAACTTTACATGATTATCTCTGAATCTACATGCAGTTTAGTATGTCGTCTTGTGGTTTTGTTCCAGGTGTTAGATATGTTATAGTAAACATTTCTTGATGTAGTTCAGCAGAGCAAATAGTGTTGAGAATTTGATTCATATTTTTTTGAGGTAGTTACAGACCAACCATTGTAAATGCCTAGTGTGATTGGAAGTTTGAATTCTTGAATTTTACTGTACTTTAGTTGGCTACTCAAAACCACACATTAGTTGCTCACTAAATATTTCAGGCTTTTGTAGAATAGCTTATGAAGTTCCTTATAGTGGCTAAAGTCATTTTTATATATTACAGTGTTTGATAGTATATCTGCCTTTGTTGAACTTGTGTCATTTTTCCAACCTTAGGAATTAAGAAAGGAACTAGATACCCTTTTGCAAGAGAAGATCGAAAGTCCCCATCCCGTAGATTGGATTGACACGAAATCCAGAGACTGTGCAGTGCTCTCAGCTATTACAGACTTGATCAAAACACAGGAAAAAGTAACTCCCAGGAAGTTGCCACCACGATTCCAGGATGGATATTACAGCTGACAAATTTTCTGTGGTGGTATGAAAAGCCAATTTGACAACTGTTTTCCATCATAGTTTAACTTTTGGCTAAATGCCAAACCTTGGGACATTAGTAATTTCCACATGTAAGGTAGAAACCTTCAGTGGGTAGTAAAGACTTACTGTGCATGAGTTAACAATGTTATGTATAGCTATTATAAATATACCACAAAAACAGTATGTTCTCTGATCATATTCTCTGTTGTGGTAATGTCCACACTTTGGGAGTATTCCTTTTATATATATTGGTGTTATACCACTTGAGAAATTCCTTTGTTCTGTTAAAACTAATCTTGCTGCACAAAATGACTGGTATAGAACCAGTAAAAATAGAATGGTTAATCAAAAAGCAGTGTCAAGTAGGAATTTGAACACAGCCACATTTTTTAAGTGGAACTTCTATCAGAAGTTAATTTGTTGTAATAAAACCCAGTATTTAATAAAATGTACAGTGTGTAAATCTCAGCTAACTTTTTGGCTTGGTTTCTGCATCTCCACCTCTCCATTGGTTTATTTGATGTCTTTTGTGTGTTTTTAAAATCTTTTTAGAATATATTCGTACCCCTTTTATGTCACCTTGTGCAGCATAATGTAGCAATTGAGAGCATGGGTCTGGAGCCTGACTACCTAAGTTCAAATTTCAGCTCTGCCACTTCTAGATATCTTGGGCACGTTACTTGGCTTATGTCCTTTTCCTTATCTAAAATACAGGTAACAGTTGTGAGAACTGACTGTGTTAATATACGTAAAGTGCATAAGTTGTGTCTGGTACGTAGCGTGTACTTACTGAATCTTAGATATTATTTGTCCATGAAATATTTTTTAATAGTCTATTATACTTTTTTTTTTTTTGCATACTGTGAGTTCTATTTTACCCTCTCAGCTAATTGAAGGTAGTGTGATATGTACTGTATGTGTTAGCTCTATCCAGTTGTGACAAATACTGTTGGCTGCTATCTCGTCCCTCCCTTCCTCCCTCCTTGTTTGCTTGTGTTCACGTGTTCCCGCTCTGTACGGCCTTGTGCCTGGGGATGTTGGACCGTGCACCGTCTTATTCCCCTTATAAGTAACTGATACAGCATGACTGTGAACCTGTCCTGGCCAGTGGCAACTGAGAAGAGATCTTCAAGGAGCATCTGAGGGAGATTTTCCTCCCTACTAGACTTGGAGGAGGAAATTCTGCACCCCCTTGGAGATTGTCCTGTCTGAATCTGGCACTTGGAACTGCTGCAGCCATGTTATGACCACAAGGTTGGCTCAGTGGGAAGGTGAAAATCATTAGAGCCCTTGATGATGCTAGTGAGCTGCTGAATTGTCCCACTCAAACTGTCCTCCCTACACATGACTTATTTTGATATAATAAACCTTTTATTGTTTTAGCCACTTTTGGTAGGGCCTTTTGTATAACTTGGAAGCAAGTATGTTCCTGAAACATACTATTCATTGAGCATTGTTTGCTGAGGCCTCTGTTTCTACCATTTATTTTGTCATCTAACTGACCTATATGTCTGACAAAAGTGGTAGTACTGGACATACTGCAAAAAGAAACATAGGAAGAACATCCTGCTGCACCCTAAAAACTACATATTGTGCCTTCCAATAAATGCAGAGAAACCAAAGGAAAAGAGATATACAAGGGCTGAGATTTACTGATAATGCTATGACGATCTGTTAACAGCACTGGTTCCGGTACTACTCCCATTTCTGGGAATGTATGTCCACCTATCATTGCCTTCCAAGGTTTTAAATGTACTGTGTGTCCTAAATCCATTCTCTGGGCCAGTCTCCCAAAAGTGACCCATCTCATTGAATTCTTGCAATGAGTCATGTCACAATATTGTAGCATATTAGGTTTGGCCCTAAACTGAAGGTGGCCATTAGGTCCTGTTTGTTCTAAAGAGTGTGACTTTTTTTTTTCTTTTCTTTTACTATACAGTCAGTTGGCCAAAATGGTTTTGGCGGAAAGCATTTTAAAAATCTGTAAAAACAGAAGACTGTTTAATTGGTTCCATGTTTGCAAACCAATATTTAGTCTCCACATAAACAGGGAAAATGTTCCTGAAGAATTGTTTAATGATTGGTCATTCAAAGAGATTAAGCAGTTATTATCACCCCCAATTTGAATCTTCTCTATAGCTGATCAGGATGGAAATTTTAATTGAAGGTGCTATCTGTGTTGTTTCTTTTGTTTACAGAATAGGTTGTTACTGAGTTGAAAATGTAGTACAGGTCTGAGAACTGTTTGTCATTTGGTAGTTTTAAAGAATAAGGCATTAAATTAAGAAGAAAAAGCTATTTATTTGCCTCGCCATTCTGAGTGATACCGAGAATAACTCTTGAACAAATAACCTTGAAATGGAAACTTATGGAAAACAAAAGTAAAGAAATCACTGAATAATCTTTAAAGTGTCTTTGAAAAGTGAGTCCATGTGACACCTTCCTAATTCTTTAACAAGGGTAAAAGCTCTAGATACATTTATACCAATTGTTACAAGTGATTTTATCTTAACTGCATTTTAAAAATAAAGTCCACACTAAAAGTTAGAAAACTACAGAAAAGCTTTAGAAGGAATTTATTTTAGTACCCTCTTACCCAAAGTAAATGGTAATCTTCCTTCCATGGTTTTTAGCTCTGAGTTTGTATGTATATATTTTATGAAATTGTGATCATGTGGTAATCTTGTATTTATAATATGCTGTTTTTTAAATGGCATTTTATTTTAAAACTACATCCTCATTTTAGAATATTTAGAAATTTCACATAAAAAAGCATGTTACCCATTTTATTTCCATACTGCAAGCTTTAATGTATTATTTTACATATAATATTAGCCCATTTAAGTTTATAATTCTGTGAATTTTGTCAAACATATAGTCATGTAATTGCTACCATATCACCTAAAAATTTCCCTTGTTACCCTTTGTAGTCCATCCCCTGGTTTTGCCTTTTCTAGAATTTCAAATAAATGGAATCATATGTAGTCTTTTGTGTCTGGCTTTCCCTTGACAGTGCTTTTGAGATACGTATGTTGCTGCATGTATCAGTAGTTAGTTCCTGTTTTATTTAGCATTGGATTGTATGGTTATACCAGTTTATTCACCACCAGTTGACGGACCTTTGAGTTTGCTATTATAAATAAAGCTGCTATGAACACGTGTTTACAAGTTTGTGTGTAGATATGTTTTCATTTCTCTTGGGTCAATACCTGTGATTAGGATTGTTGTGTCATATGGTAAGTGTGTTGATAAGAAACTTTCAAACTGACTGCCAAAGTGGGTGTACCATTTCACACACCCACCAGCAGCAATGTGCGATGGTTCCCAGTGTTGTAATTCCTTGCCACCGCTGGTGTTTTCAGTTATTTGTTGTTGCTTCAGTTATTTTAGCTTTAGTGGATGTGGAGTCACAGCTCGTGGTTTTGTTTTTGTATTTCTGTAATGATTAGTGAGGAGCATATTTCGTGTGCTTATTTGCTGTCTTCCTTAGTTGTCTCTATGTGTTTTGGTTTTCCACCTTATATGTTAAATAACTGGGGCTTTAGGGATATATTTGATCAAGGAGAGGGAGGAGGATTCTTTATGAATTTTAGAGATGCAGAAAATGTCTTTCACGTAGCAAGTGGCAAAATGTGCCACTCTTGCGTCGGTTGGTATGACAGAGAGTTAAGCCAATTAATCAAGTGCCGGAAGAGACTTGCACTGGTTTTCGGTGACTGGTGTCAAGAGGTTGCATATCCAGCATGAGGTGAAGAACGGCATGGCACAGAACATGCTTGCTGTGGGTAAAGGTGTGGGAGCGAAGGAAGAAGTTGATGTGGCTGCACCGCAGAGCCAGCCTGTACTGGGGACGCAAGTCCCACCGTCCTGCTGAGTTAGGGGCCTGCCTTTGATTCATGTTTTAATCTGGTGTGAATTTTCAAATAATTTTTTTTTCCCAAGAAGATAATGTGATATATTTTTGAGTCGTTCCCAAGTGTCCTATGTTACCTTCACACAATGAAAGCAACTTGGTGAGGAATAAAATTCATTTTAGCAAAGCTTTCCTTTAATGAAATATTGATTCCTTGATGATTTCTCTTTCTCTTTAGGCCTTTTAGCTGTACACCTTTTAGGTATTTCAGTGCCTAACTTTTGCCTACGCTTCCATTCACCCCATTTTAACAGCTATTTCTCTTGTTAAATTATTTGATTAAGATTTTTTTATTGCAGAATTGGGGAAGGGGAACAGCGTTGGGGAATCGGGGAAGGGGAACAGACAAGTTGCTGTCCTTTTGTTCTTCAGTCTAGTTGTGGAGGACGT